CTCCTCCTCCTCTTCCTCCTCCTCTTCCTCCTCTTCCTCCCCCTCCTCCTCCTCCTCCTCCTCCTCCTCCTCTTCCTCTTCCTCTTCATCCTCGTCCCCCCCCATCGTCGTCGTCCTCCTCCTCCTCCTCCTCCTCCTCCCTCTCCTCCTCCTCCTCCTACTCCTTCCTTCAATGGGCAGGCGGAATGAGCGAATCGATGGCACAACTATTCTACAGTGCTGAAGCACAACAATAACAACAACTTTAGGACTGTTCGCTCTTATATGTTCGCGTGTCATTCACGATGTACTATGCATATATATATATATATATATATATATATATATATATATATATATATATGTATATATATGTATGTATGTATGTATATATCCCGCCCAGACCTTGGATACCCACCCTCTTCGTCTTCGATCGCACCCCTTTGTTGGGTGTATATGCATTCCCTACCACGCGTGGTGGATGAAGCCCAGGAAGACGAAGGGTAGCAGATAACGGGGGAGAATGAGGACGAAGGGATCGGAGGACGGGAGGGGAGGGGCAAGAAGGAGGGAGGACGATGATTTGCGCTGCGACTGGCGATTCAGTTGGCGCCATGGCTGGCGCCAGCCACTCCAACGCAGGTTAACAATTCGTTTCGCCATGGGTCGCGCCATAAACAGCGCCACGCACCACCCCTTGAAATAACATGTCGTGGATACCCCCACGGGGGTGCGCACAGCTGCGAACTGGTGTCAGAAACAAATTTCGTGGAACCCTGAAAAGAAGCGGGATGTTGGGGGAGCGGGGCGGAAGGATAGCGGGAACTGCAACCGTGTCGAGAGGGGCGCGGGGACGTGGGGTGGATTGGGACGGGGTGGACAAGAGCAGGGTCTCAGGAGGAGGAGCGGCACGGAATGGAGAAGAGGAGCCGGAAGGGGCGCGGAGGAGCGGGGGGCGCGCGGAGGAATCTGGAGGAGGGACTGGGAATAATTTTGGAAAAATGCGGAATGCGAGCGGGAAAGGGTGGAAATTGTTGGTGTGGGATGGGGTGGCCTGGTGAGGAGTGGGTGGAATGCGAAGAACTGAAGAATAGCACAATGGACTACGAACGACATGAAAATGAAGATAAAAGGGAAAGATTAGAGAAGACTGGGAAAGAACGTTGAAAAGTGGGGGCAGGTGGATACGAGCGGAGACTGGTGCAGAAACAAAACGCGGGGGGATTGGAATGCACCCGAAAGCCTCCTATGACCTCAGGGGGGCCTCGGAATGGCCCCGATGACCACCGAGCAGTTCCAGAGGCTCCGAAAACCTGCGGGAACGCATGCGGGAGCCGTTGTTGGCGCGGGCCACGACGGGCGCGAACGAGCGGGGGCCCCGAAGGGCATGCGTATAGGGGGCCGCAGAGGGCAGCGACGGAACCGCTGAGGGCAGAAACGGGGCCACGAAGGGCAGAGAAGGGGGCCACGAAGAGCGACAGCGGGGCCACGAAGGGCATGCATATGGGGCCACGGCGGGCGCGAACGAGCGGGGGCCACGAAGGGTATACATATTTGGGGCCAGAAAGGGCGACAGCGGGGCCACTGAGCGTAGAAAGTGGGCCACGAAGGGCAGCGAGGGGGCCACGAATGGCGACAGCGGGGCGACGAAACGCATGCGTATGGGACCACGACGGGCGACTGCGAGCGGGGGCCACGACGGGCATTAATGCGGGGCCACAATGGGCAGCGACGGGGCCACAGAGGGGAGCAACGGGGCCACGAAGGGCAGCGAGCGAAGGCGACCGCGGAACCAGTACGGGCAGAGGGGCATCGAAGGCGGGCGAAGGGCAGCGAGCGGCGACTGCAGTCCCTAACGGGCTGGTCGGGCGGGCAGGCCCAGACGGGCGGGTCGAGCGGGCGGGTCGTTGAAGCGTAAATTATGCTTGAACCGCCAGGCAAGATGTAGCGGGAGCGCTATTCCTGAGTGTCGAGGAACGGCATCTGAATAAACTGTGAGGAAGTATCAGGCGGGAGCCGCGATTCGGTGGTAAGTTGCGAGGAAGTCCCAAGCGAGAGCGCGATTCTTCTATAAATTGTAAAGAAATATCAAACGGGAGCCGCGACCCGGTGGTAAATTGCAAGGAAGTCCCACGCGAGAACGCGATTCTTCAATACATTGTAAAGAAATATCAAGCGGGAGCCGCGATCCGGTGGTAAATTGCAAGGAGGTCCCGCGCGAGAACGCGATTCTTCAATACATTGTGAGGGAGTATCAGGCGGGAGCCGTTGTTGTTGTAAACCGGGGGCCAACGACACAGTTTGACCCTCAAGACTTCCCCTGATAAAAAACAAGGTGCGGGCCCCGGGAAGGGCCTTTCAATCGAAAAAACATTGTGCACCAGACGGGGGGGATCAACAATAATTATTCTTCAGAAGTGAACTCAACAACAACAGCAACAGCAATAACAGCAACAACAGCAACAACAACAACAACAACCACAACCACAACCACAACCACAACCACAACCACAACCACAACCACAACCACAACAACAACAACAACAACAACAACAACAACAACAACAACGAGGATGACGACGACGACGACGACGACAACAACGACGACAACGACAACGACAACAACGACAACCATCTTGCGAATATCGGATGTAACAAGCAACTGTGGCCTTCATGTGTTTTCTCCTCTCCCTCGCACCCGCCCGCGAAGTCATTGGACCAACCCCAATTGGGGGGGATTCGTTTCATACTAGCTCCCGGGAGAAGGATTCGGTACTCCCTTTGCGCACCACATCGCCACGGCCGCCAAACGTGCTAACGCGCCCGCGGGCCAAGGCGTCTCGGAGTAAATTGAGGAGGTATCGAGCGGGAGCAGTTGTCGTCGTAGCTGCCCACCCCCCTCCCCAACTTGAACGAATTGCGAGGATGATTCGAGCCAGACCACAGTTTCTGAGCTTCGAAGCTTCTCTGACCAGGGCCTCTCGAAATAAATCGCGCAGAATTGTCGGGCGAAAGCTGCTGTCATCATAGCGGGGGGTCCACGAACGTGCGTGAACTGTGAGGATGTCTCGAGCCAGAGCGCAGTTCCTGAGCTTCGAGGCCTCTCTGGCCAGAGCGTCTCGGAATAAATCGCAAGGAAGTGTCGAGCGGGAGCAGCTGTCGCCGTCGCTGGAATCCCACGAACTTGCATGAATTGCGAGGAAGTCTCGAGCCAGAGCGCCGTTCCTGGGCTTCGAGGCTTCTCTGACCAGAGCGGCTCGGAATAAATCGCAAGGAAGTGTCGAGCGGGAGCCGCTGTCGCCGTCGCTGAACTCCACGAACGTGCGTGAATTCCAAGGAAGTCTCGAGCCAGAGCACTGTTCCTGGGCTTCGAGGCCTTTCTGGCCAGGGCCCGTCGGAGTAAATTTTGAGGAAGTATCGAGCGGGAGCCGCTGTCGCCGTTGCTGGAACTCCACGAGCTTGCGTGAATTGCGAGGATGTCTCGAGCCAGAGCGCCGTTCCTGAGCTTCGAGGCCTCTCTGGCCAGGGCCCGTCGAAGTAGATTTCGAGGAATGATCGAGCGGGAGCCGTTGTCGTCGTAACCGGGCCCACAAAGGCACACATACACAATCACGCCCCCGCTCGAGCGGGAGCCTCGTTTTCACAGAAAATGAGGCCGGCGTCGAGGCGAGAGCGCCCGCGCAACTTTCCGGAGATCAACAGTAATTTTTCTCTAGAAATGAGAATTCAACGACTACAACGACTACAACGACGACGACGACGACGACGACGACCACGACGACCACGACGGCCACGACGACGACGACCACGACGACCACGACGACCACGACGACCACGACGACCACGACGACCACGACGACGACGACGATGACCACGACGACGACGACGTCGACGACGACGACAGCGGCGGCGGCGGCGGCGGCGACGGTGGCGACGGTGGCGTCGAGGACGACGAAGTTGACGACGGCGGCTGCGGCGGCGGCGACGGCGGCGTCGAGGACGACGAAGACGACGACGGCGGGAGTCCCGCGCTCCAGCGCGGTACGGTGCATAGTCTTGTTCGGCCCTGGTGGCCGAAAAACCATGCACCGTACCATTTTCTGGGTCGACCATCGACGACGCCTCGAAAGGCGCCAGCGCGGTACGGTGCACACATGCCGTCCGTGGAAGCGGAAGGAGGGGGGAGAAGGAAGGGAAAAAGCAACGGCAGCACGAGGGAGGAGGGATGATGTCGACGAAGACGAGGATGGGAGGGCATGAGCGGATCAAGCGGGTAAAAGAAGGAGGCAGTAAGGAAAGAAAGAGGCTAGGAAGGAAAAGCCGAAAGATGCCTTCTCCTCCCTCCTCTTCTTCCCCCCTTCCCCCTTCCCCTCCTCCTCCTCCTCCTCCTCCTCCTCCTCATCCTCCCCATCCTGCTCTCCTCCTCCTTCTAAGCCTCCTGTGTGAAATCCTGAAGCAGTGGAAAAGAGAGATGTCACATGTCACGGACGCCTGGGCAGAGCTCGAAAAGTTGCCACACTCAGCGTTTTGCTGGCACGGTGGTGGAACCATAGCCACAGGCGTCCGAAGGAGCGAGCAAACCACGACGGCAGCAACGCGAAGGCGAGCGCGCGCAGTCTCCATCCTTGCAGACACCTCACAAGAACGAGTGGAGGAGGAAGAGGAGGAGCAAGAGGAGGAGGGGGAGGAGGAGGAGGAGGGGGAGGAGGAGGAGGAGGAGGAGGAGGAGGAGGAGGAGGAGGAGGAGGAGGGAAGGATTCTCCATATCCTTCCCAGAACGATGTAAAGCACCAACAACTAGGGCGTCAGCGCTGGGGACAACGCGCGCGCGAGTCAGAAAGCTGGCGCACCACTACGTGCCGTGCCGGGCAAACATACGTGCACAACTGCATGCATATACATATCCACGTGGGGCCCTCACGCACACGCCGTACGAAAGTGCCCGCTCAGGCCCGCGATCGCGTTGCGCGCACGACTCTTCGAGCGACTCGTGGCCTGCCCTCACCCCTGCGAGCCCGCTCCTCGGTGCGCAGCCGCGAGAACCGGTTGGTCACGAACAGGCGCAGCTGGTCAGCGCGCTCGACCATCTCCTCCGCAACACGGATGGCTCTGCCGGCAAAGCTCTGCGTCCAGTGCATCGTGGCTCTCCGCTCGCGCCTCGGGCCTCGCTCGACGATGCGCAGCTTCTGGAGGAAACTCCTAAACCTCCCCTTGCCCAGAGAGTGGCTACCTACCAGACCACCCCAACCCAACCCGAAGACCCGAATTTGACCCGAATTTCGGGTTGGGGGGGGTACGGGTTCCATGTGTTTTATCAACGTTCCCCGACCCCCCCACTGGAAATGGAGGGCAAATTGAGGCCTTCGGGTTGGGTTCGGGTGGTTTGGTAGGTGGTGAGAGAGGGGATGCTTGCTTGCTGGCTGGACGCTGCCATAGAGTTAGTGGCTGGCTGGGGCCCCAACCTATCGCCAAACGCGAGGCGAGCCTGCTGGTCAGCGGCCGTTGATACCTGGGCGTGGGCATGGTTGGGCGGGGGAGCTGTGCGCGTGCAGCACGCGAAAACCAAGGAAGCCTCGAGAACAGCTCTTGGGGAAGAGGCCATACCCAGAGTCCGCCGAAATACGCGGACCTCCGCGAACTCATCGGGGCTCCCTTTGGGCCACCCGAGAAGCAAGAGCGGCCCGTGTCCTGCCCAGACAAACCCCAAGCGGCCCCCCATGACGGGAAGCAGAAACCGAAGTCGGCCCAAAAGCGCGAGGCTCACAGCAGTTCAAGGGACCCCCAAGACGGACCACGATCACTCCTAGAGGCCCCACAAGAGGCCCACAAAAGGCCACAATAATTGATTTGCGTTTGGGTGTTGAACAGTTTCCAAGAGCGCCCCAGTATCGCACTAAGATGGCCCAAGAGGCCCTTGAGAGAGCCCCCAGACAGCCCAAGGCAGCCCCCAGGCAGTCCCCAGACAGTCCCCAGACAGCCCCCAGACAGCCCCAAAGGCCCCCAATGCGGCCCAAGACAGCCCCAAGTGTGCCCCCAAGGAGCCCCAAGATGGGGAACACAATCGACATTTCGGACCACCCGCCCCAACATGACCTCTGAGACCACCAGCAGGCCTCCAAGAGGCCCCCCGAAAGCCCCAAGAGGCCCCAGAGAGAACCCACATCCATACATTCATACACACATGCATGCATGCATGCATGCATGCATGCATGCATCCACACATACAGACAGACAGACAGACAGACAGACAGGCAGACAGACAGACAGACAGACAGACAGACAGACAGACAGACAGACGGATAGACAGACAGACAGACACACAGGCAGGCATGCAGGCATACATACATACATGCATGCATATACACATGCATATATACATTCATGCATATATACACACAATCTATACATACGAACACCCATACCTACATACGTACATACATTCATAAATGCATGCGTACATGCATGTTCACATATATACACATACATGCATGCATGCATGCACGCATGCATTCATGCATACATGCATACGTACACCCATACATACATACGTACATGCACAAATTGATTAATTAATTCATTCATTCATTCATTCATTCATACATACGTACATACATACATACATGTACGTATGCCTACCTACTTGCCTACCTGCCTGCCTACCTACCTACATACATACATGCATACATACATACACACATACATCTACACACATACATACATACACACATATATGCATGAATGCATGCATGCATGCATACACACATACACACATACATACACTACATACACACATACATAGATACATACATACATACATAGATACATAAATACATACATGAATCATCGCGCGCGCTTCGCGCGCACTCAGGTTCTAGCAGACCCCAGGCATTGACGAGTTCACTGTTCCACTGAAGTGAAGTCGTGGACCACTGATAGTTTGAACGGGAAGTGAATAAGGGTCCATAGCGCTGAACGCATGATGGACAGTGAGAAGTCCATGCGTGTCAGTGAGAAACCCATGCATGTCAATCCGCATTCTGGAAGGCTTTCGGGGAAGATGGTTGCGTAGGGGGGCAGAGATGAATCGGGTTCCCAGCAGGCCTTCTGGGAACATCTGTTTTAGGGGCGTCTTGGGGAGCCTGTTTGGGCGTGCCGTCGTCGTCGTCGTAATGTTGTCGTCGCCGCTTGGGGCGCGCCGTCGTCGTCGTCGTCGTCGTCGTCGTCGTCGTCGTCGTCGTCGTCGTCGTCGTCGTCGTCGTCGTCTTCGTCGTTTCATCGTCTTCCTCGTCGTCGCCGTCGTCGTCGTCGGCGTCGTCGTCGTCATCGTCGGTTCAAGAGGGCACTTGGGGCAACTTTGTGCGAAACGATCCGCGGAGGGCCGCGTGAAGGCGATCAGTAATGTTCCCAGTCAACTTCCGAGACAGCTCTCCAGTAGCGTGATGGTACGTCGGAGCCTCCGGAAACTCGCAAGCCCATGATGAACTATGTCCCCGGTAGGCTTTCTGAGGACATGACTTGTTGGGGTGTGTTGGGGGGCCTCTTGGGCGTTCCCTGGGGGGCCCCTTGGGGGCCACTTGGGGCGGGGCTTCGTGGGAGCCTCTTGGTGGCCTCCCTGGGGCCTACTGGGGGCTTCTAGGGCCAGAGACCTTGAAATATCGGTTCGCGGTCCCTCTCTGGGCCCCCTCTTGAGGCGCTCTTGGGGCACACTCGGGTTGTCTGGGGAGCCTCCTGGGCCGTCTTGGAGCCCTCGTCGGGGTCTCGTGGGCGGTCTTGGAGCGATCTGATGGGCTCCCGAGGCTGTGAGGGCGCGCTGGGAAGCGGGAAAAGCGAGAACGCCAAAAATCCTTCAAAAACCATATATATATATATATATGACTTTTGCCTCCCAGGGCCCTCTTGGGGAGCCTCTTGAGTCCGTCCTGGAGAGTGTTAGAGTCCTCGTCGGCCGTCTTGAGGGCATCTTGGGCGTCCTCGGGGCCTCTTGGGACCAGCTTGGCCCCTCTTGGGACCCCCTTAGCCTGTCATGGCCTGTTTGGGGGCGGGCGCAGGCCGTCTCGGGAGCTCTGGGACCTCCCAGAAACCCTGGGGGGCGCCCATGGAAGGTACCGGCAGCGACCCGCCCCCCCAAGCCTACTCCGATGTGTATATATATATATATATACACATTTATATGTGTATATATATATACATATATGAGCATCAGCATCATCGTTCTATATATACACACATAAACCTACATATATATATATATACACATATGTGTATAAAAATCGATCGATCTATAGATCATTATATGAATACATACAGACAGACAAGAAACAGACAGACATACAGACAGGCAGACAGACAGGCCTGCCTGCCTGCCTGCCTGCCTGCCTGCCTACCTGTCTGCCTGCCCACATACAAACATACATGCATGCATGCATGTATGCACACATGCATACATGCATACGTGCACACATACACACAATCACACACATACAGACATACATACATACATACATACATACATACATACATACATACATACAGACATGCATGCATACCTACCTACCTACCTACCTACCTACATACATACACACAAATGTGAACAGCTAAATCTGTATAGATGCGTGTCTGAATGTGTACTACACATGTACATACATACATACATACAAACATACAAACATATATCCATACATGCATGCATCAATACGCACATATGCTTCCATGCAACCTTGCATACAAACATGAATACATGCATACAGCACTACACACATGCATACATACATACATGCAGGCATACGTACGTGCGTACGTACATACATGCATTAACGCATGCTATCCACGCATACATACATTCATTTACCTACATACGTAAACACATACATGCAAGGAAACACACATGCAACCATACATGCACACATACATACATACATACATACATACATACGTTCATACATACATACATACATACATACATACATACATACATACATACATGCATGCATACGTCACTGCACACATGCATACATGCTTACATGCATACATTCATACAGGCATACAGGCATACATGCGTACATGCATACAGGCACACAGGCATACATGCATAATTGCATACATGCATGAATACATGCATACATTCATGCATGCATACATTCATACATGCATACATGATCACATGCATAAGTTCATACATGCATACATGCATACATGCATACATGCCTACATACATGCATGCGTACATGCATGCATGCATGCATGCAGTCATGCATACATGCATGCATACATGCATACATGCATACATGCACACATGCATGCATGCATACATGCATACATATATACACATGCATACATGCATACAGTCATACCAGCGTAAACTCATAAATGCATACATGCATACACGATGCGTGCATACATATGCAAACATACATAATTGCATACAGGCATACAAGCGTATATGCATACATGTATACATGAATAAGTGCATACATGCATACACACATACACATGCATACATGCATACAGGCATACATACGTACATGCATACATGCATACATGCATACACGCATACATACACACATGCGTACATATCCACCACCGTGCTCCTGACACGAAGTGAAGCGCCCCCCCAAGCTCACAACTGCGCCGCTGCTGCTGCTGCTGCTGGGATTCGTGCAGCCGAGACTGAAATTTGAAAGGCCCAGACCACCGGTTTCCCGGGCCTTTCTGGGGTGAGCCAGGGTGGCCCCCGTGAGTTCTGAGGTGTCTTCTGCGAGTCCTCTGGACGCTGTACCCGCACAAAACGGGCAAACAGGATTGTCCAACAGCCATCACCTCGCTTTTTCCGTTACCTGGACCGGTACGGTATCGGAAAGAGCGCTTCAGGAACTTGCCCGAGATGGCTCATGGCACCCTTCCGTCCTGGGAGCCTGGGGCCCCCAACAGACCCCAAAACTAACCCCAAGAAGCCCCCGAGAGCGCTTAGAAAAACCCCAAGAAGCATCCCAGAGAGCTCCGACCCACAACCGAGGCACGGTGGCAGGATGGGCCGAAAGCCATTACACCTGCTTGGCATGGCGAGCTTTCCGTCATCTGATGCTCGGCCTGC